TTTCGAACCTGTTAACTGCGATTATCTCGCAGGTTCAGGTCATATCAAAAAAATTCATGAAAAGAAATGAAAAAAGAAAAAAGAAAGGGCAAACATAAAAGACCAAAAACAGATAACTCGATTATCTGTCGGGCCACGCTTTTTCAATTTGAAAAAACGTTGCCGTCCTCAGCTATTTCGTCGCTACCGGGCCGTCCTTCACTTGGATCGTGTTGTGTTCGATGCTCTGTACTCAATCGGTGATTCGGGTTTGTGGGTCGCTGCTTCTGTTCTGCTCTATCCGACTGCCTGAGGTCCTTGATCCGCCCATCTTCTCTGCCCGCGGGATCTTTCTTCTTTGTCTGTAAATCTTGTGTCGTGTGGCTCCTGGGCTGGTTCTTGGATGTTGTCGCCTTTTAGTGCCTGAATATACCTCTTGCAGCGGCGTGCTTTGTGTCATACAAGTCTTCCAGGTGCGTACACAGTCCCGCTGTCTGCGGTTTTTTTCTCCTTGATCCGTCGATTTTTTCTTCCCGCGGGATCTTTCTTCTTTGTCTGTAAGTCCTGTGTCGTGTGACTCCTGGACCGGTTCTTGGATGTTGTCGCCTTTAGTGCCTGACTCTTCCTCTTGTAGCGGTGCGCTTTGTGCCATACAAGTCTTCCAGGTGCGTACATAGTTTAGGCCATACTTTCCCTCCCACCCTCCTTGCTACTATTCTTATCCCATGTGTAATCATGTAGCTAAGAAAACCTAATGCTTTCAGTTCCCTGTGTAGTGTGAACATACTTATTATCAATGTCCCAGGTTCAGACGTATTGCCATTTATCATGTATATTGTGTGTACTATGAAAGCCATATTCTGCTCCTTGGAGCCAAATGAATCAAATCGCTTAGTAGTAAAGATCTTCACAGGTTCCAGTTTCCATATGCTGTCCCAGATTCGACTTGGTTCCTTTATCACCATTACCGTAGTTTCGAGAAAATCAGCAACATGATTGCCGCCATCAGTCCTCTGCAAAATGAGCTTTTTGTGATAGCATCCATTTATTTTATAAAGTTTTTTTTGTGCTTCTTCCTTTCCTTTGTTGTCTGCATACCAGGTGATCAGTAGCAGATCGTCAATAAATCTTTTCCCGCTGATGAATTTCGAGTCCTTTCCAAGAGATTTTATAAACTTATATTCAGCGTGCATACATACCAGGCATGCTAACGAGGGACTTGCATGCCCTCCCATTGGAATATCGGTATGTTGTTGTAGAATTTCATCCATTGATTTGAAGAATACGTGGTCCAAGATAAATTTCACCAGATTTTTCAAATCAGACAATCTTATTGATTTTCATCCTCCCTCTCCTGAAGATTTGTTAAATTTTGCTCTTTTCCTCGCATTTTTATCCTCACCCAATGTCGTCCCTTCCCTCTGAATTCACTCATGATCCAGTGGACCGCATCTTTCACTTCCTTGTGAGGTATCATTGTGAACATTTCTTTTATGTCGTTTGTTCGACATAGAATCCCTGCATCCTTCCCCAATTTCTCCATTTTTTTGTTGATTTTTTCTATCTTTGGTTTTAAATCCTTCGTGGCTTGCATGTTAAAATTGTCTCTCTTTGTTTTACTGCACATCAAATTCAGTGCCTGAGTCAGTGCTTTACACACAGATCTTATGGGGCTTTGATATGATGAACATATCGGTCGTTTTTTGTCAAGATCTTTATTCTTACTCATTATGAAGGCATGTTGAATTCGGCCATCCTGATTCCAGTTTGCTATCCTGTTCAGTTTCTCTTTCCAAAATTCACCCTTCATTTCTTTCAAGATTTCGGCTTTGCTAGAAACTACCTTTTTGTAATTGTCGTTAGAGTTGAAAGTTTTCCTCATCCCTTGACTGTAGTGCCAGGGGCATTCAACCAACGTGTCACCTGGGTTGCGATAGAGGGGTGAGAGGACTAGCCCCTCTAGTGCAGTCTTTATCCCATTTACGTATTCCACCCGGACTCCTCTGCTCTCCACGTTTTTTCCCGCACTTATCTTTGCTGGGTTGATTGGTACATTCTCATGTCATCCAATGAGGCTTGCTTTCTTTAATGGTTGCACTGCAGTTTCGCAAGCGGACTTGATATCATTCAAACGGCATACTCGTCCAGGGGTAGGAACATTTCTGGAATTATGGAGGAAAGGATCGACCCCTGGTATGTCACTCAGTCTAACCCAGACATGCCCATTTTCTTTCGGCAGGTCAATTTCACCACAAACACAAGTGTCTTCCGACTTAGCTATATGTTTGTGATTATGTAGCAAATGCCAGCAAATCTCCGACTGATTTGGACTTACTTCAAGCCACCCGGAGTTTTTTCTGCATCAGGTCATTGAGTTCCGTGGGTTTAATCCTCTTCTCGATCCATGAACACAGCTCATTTCTCACCTCTTTCTTGCTTATATTGCAACCGAATGGAATTTTTACGATCAATCGCAATCTGGGGTTGATTCCAGCCTTCTTCTTGAGTATCTTAGATAGCACACAACATAATATTTGTCTTTCATTCTTGTTATTTACTCCCTTTACATTCTTCAGCATGATAAACAACTCAGTGATTTCTTTATATACAAATTCTTTCCGTTTCCACTGAGCCCTTAGTAATGCGATGATTTTGGATTTTTGCCTGTCCGCATCTGTTCTCATTTTTACCACTTCCTCCATATACCATACCCCGCCTTTTTCAATCTCTGTTTTTGCATCCTTCAATAACATTTTTGTCCCGTTGATGCAGATTTTACAAGAGTCAAAAATCATTCTTACCAAACGCCACGTCTTCCCCCATTTTTTCGCAACTTTATTTCTGATTTTGATTGGGCGACTTTTTTCTTTTGTGGCGTTAAGAATCCTGACAAGATTAATCGTCCCATCTATCCCAACACAAGGAGCAGAAAAACATTACGGCTTCCATTCCATATTGGTTGGTGAGGGAATCGATTTTTTTTCCTTCGTTCTCGATCGTCGTGGTTTACCTCGCTGATTTTGTTTACGCATGTTCAGACCAGGATTTTCTTGCTTAATTATGGCACTTTCCATACATTTCAAGTCATCCTTATGTCCAAACCACAATGGGATCATAGTGTAGTTTTCGTCTGGTTTCTTTCCTAGCTATTTATGTACTTTAAATCGTGGATTTTTTGCATCCCTTAGATGCTCAGCCCACCTTTCCCCGATTTTTCGTCTAGTCTGTCCGATGTACGTGGATTTGAAGTGCGGTGAAATCATGACGTACACGCATGATTCACTTTCTACCATCGACTCCAGATCTACCAGGCTCATAGTGGACCAGTACTTTACATAGTTTCTACCCCATTGCATAAATCCCAAAACGCTACGTAGGATAACTCCTAGTTTGAATACTTTCTCGATTTCTTTCCTGAGATCAGCAAGGCTACGAGTTCGAAATTCGGCTCTCATAAGCAGGCTACTACATTTTCTCATCAACCGCTGCCATGCTCGTTTCGAGGGAAACTCTAATTTTCCGCGATGCCACTGGAATCTTCGTCAACCGATTGCTCGCTACTCTCGTCATTCTCCTGATCGACATCTTCCGATTCTTCAGAGTAATCTTCATCTTCGCGGTTCATAAGCTTCGTGTACTGCTCCGCATCTTGTTTGGTCATTTCCCATGCACATTTGTCTTTCCGCGCGACCTTCAGGCCACGCTTCACGCATAATGCCTTCACTTCTTTAACATTCATCGCCATATAATAATCAAGCCTCCCTTTCATGTACTCGATGACGTCTCCTTCCTTCATTTTTGCCTCTGTCTCGTCTCCAGTGACAGATCCCTTAGTGTCGTTTCTCGCTTCAGTATCTGATGTCGCCTTGCCTTTTCCTTTCTTGTCCTTCCTTTCACTCTCACTTTCCTTTTCTCTTTCTTTCTCCTCTCTCTCTTTCTCTTTCTCTTTCTCTTTCTCTTTCTCTCTCTTTTCTCCCCCTTGTCCGCCTCTTTCCTTTTGCGCCTCCTCTTTTCCTTTCCCCGCTATTGCTCCTAGCAGAGTTAGGATCTCATCCAATTTCTTATTTTCGCCATTGACTGCTTGCTCGTGCTTGACATCAATGCGGCAATTAGAGCGGATCTTCGCTTTCGAGTCTTCGTCATCCGAGGAAATGCTAATTCGCGGTTGCCGCACCGTCACCGTGCCGCCTGTGTTTCGAGTCCGTGATCTCACCTTCGCCTTACTGAGTGCAGGGGAACTCACTCCTCGTTTCCTTTTCTCGTTGCTCCCTAACTCCTTCTTCCCTTCTTCGTTGTCTTCCGATACTTCGGTCTTCCTCTTTGTCTTGGATTTCACCTCAATCTCGTCCAACTTCTCAGAGATCTTCTTCAACGATGTCCCAAAGGTGCTAGAGATCCATGACTTCAATCGCTCCTCACTGTTCTCAGATTCCGTACTTTGTCTCCCTTTCTTTCCACTCTTCGCATTACTGCCTCCGCTTGATTCGCCCTTCTCACTGTTTTTGCTCCCATCGCTTGACTCCCGCGCTTTCCACTTCTCAATCAGCTCGAGATGCTCTTTTGTGAACCACGCTCGGTTCCCAGGTTCAGGGAACTTGTTTGCTGATGGAGGTCGTGGCGCGCCTGGTTGATTCCACCCACCTTGCCACCCGTATGAGGGAGGTGGATAGTATCCTGGCTGGTAGTAAGGTACTGGATGCGCCATCGGTTGCACCATAGGTGCTGCCATAGGTACTATCGCTGATGTCGGGGTCGCTCATTGAGGCTGCGTGGTCTGTGCAGGTACCACTTGCGCTGGTGGGGTCTGCATCCCTGCAGGGAACTCCATCCAGTAGCGCCTACAACCTGACCACCGTCCTCTCCCCCTACCGCGCCCATACATGCGATTGCTTCGACTTCACCGTCCAACCTTCGTGCAGAATATCAGCAGGCGTCCACCTCCACGCGGATCGTCCACCTTTCCGTAGCAGCGTTCACCTCCGTATCCACCGAGGATGCAACTTCGATACAGATCCTTATAACGTAATAAATAAATTAAATTAAATCAATGTGTATATATATATATATATATATATACTGGATTGAGAATTCACGCACGTCTATGGATTGATCGTGTTTTCAGTGATCGAAGTCACTGTATACACGCTTCCATAGATGGCACCAGAGAAGCGTTCCCAAGCTTAATTGCAAGGTCGTTCCTCTGGCTCAATACGAGAGATCGTAAAAAACAATGTAACTCGGAGTTTTACATACTGCGAAACAAATTACATTGTAGCCAGCGCAGATGAGCCGCGCTTCGACAGTCCTTCTACTCCAGTTTCACTCAGACTGCTTACCGAGTTCACTCTCGGTGCTTCTTTTTGTACTATTTCCCTACTCTCGGTCCTTGCCGAGTTTCAAAAAACATTTCGAACCTGTTAACTGCGATTATCTCGCAGGTTCAGGTCATATCAAAAAAATTCATGAAAAGAAATGAAAAAAGAAAAAAGAAAGGGCAAACATAAAGACAAAAAACAGATAACTCGATTATCTGTTGGGCCACGCTTTTTCAATTTGAAAAAACGCTGCCGTCCTCAGCTATTTCGTCGCTATCGGGCCGTCCTTCACTTGGATCGTGTTGTGTCCGGTGCTCTGTACTCAATGGGTGATCCGGGTTTGTGGGTCGCTGCTTCTGTTCTGCTCTGTCCGGCTGCCTGAGGTCCTTGATCCGCCGATCTTCTCTGCCCGCGGGATCTTTCTTCTTTGGGTGGGACCCCACTGCGGCGCGGATGGAAAAGCCGTTCAGCCACGAAAAGCGGGCAAGTCATTTTGGAAAGTCGGAAAGTACTTTTTCCGGGACCCCATTGCAGAGGACCAAATGCGCTTGGAAAACGCTTTGG